GTTCTCCACATGGTACCAGCCCCTACGCCGGAGGAACTGCAGCCGTGGCGCGTGCCCGTGCCAGCTGCGCTCCCCACCACACCAGCACTGCCAGCCACCCGGCCTCTGCCGGTTTTTTATGAAACCACCGAAAGGTGGAGTTTTTCATCAGAGAGGCCCCTGTTACAGGGGTTTGGGGGCGACAGGTGTTTTGCAAAGAACCACAACGTTAAGATGATGGTTTTCCTCCTACAGCTGTACGTTCAGGACTACAGCTGGACGCACCTGCTTCGCTCCAGCGCCAAGGCGTGGCAGGGAAGATGCTCCGGGGTGGCTATCGCTGCCAGCTGAGCACAGGCCAGAGAGCAGCAGAGGCAGCGACAGGAGTTAAAGCCAGCAGAAACCAGATGTGAAAACCAGGGAGAAGGAAAGCAAGTTGCCAAGTGGGATGCATCAGTCGGAGTAGTTTGAGAGCAGCACCTGGCAGGATTGCTGGCTAACCGGCTGGAGGCACTTACCCCTGGCCTGGTAGGAGTCAGCATCCCCCTTCCTCAAGCAGCGCTGAACAGGAGCCACGTGGTGTGGTTGTACTCCTCACCCGGTCGGAGCAGGGCGCTGGGGAAGTGGGGCTGGAGAGAGGCAGCAGCAGGTCAGGGATGTGAGCGTATGCCATGGGGCCAGGAAGGGTTGTGGGGGCACGGCCACAACCCCTTGGCCTTCCTGGGGCAGTGCCCCACAGCCCCCTGTGGGTGCTCTCAGCAGCGTCTAGTTGCCGTCTGGCTGAGTGGGCGAGTCCTCGCCTTGGTTGAATTCATGCCCCATGGGGAAGATGTGGCAAGGCCCCAGTGGGGTCTTCTGCTCTAGACCCCATTCCCATGGGAAGCAGGGCTGCACGGGGCCAGTCCCGGTGGTGCTGGCCGACCCCGGCCTAGCGCCGCAGGATGCTGTGCCAGTGCCTGCCTCGGTTCGGGCATCCCTCACCAAACAGACTCCATTCATACGTTTAACGCCCCAGAGACACGGGGGGTGGGGGTGGGGTGGTCCTCAGGTCCTGCAGGACCCAAGTTGGGGAGACAGGATTCACCTTGTTGACGGCGTCGGGCCAGTTCTGGGTTTCCAGGCAGAAAGCCGAGTGCTTGGGGTACACAACGGAGCCTTTGCCCTTCAGGGAACCGTCCAGGTTGTTCCCGGTATAAAACTGGATGCCAGGCTGAGTGGTGTGAACCTCCATGGTCCTGCCAGAGGGTGGGTGCCGAGCCCTGGGGAGATGACGGTAGAGGACGCCAAGGGACTTCCTGAGTGGGTGCCCTGTGGCTCCGAGGAGGGGGCCCTACTGGGGTCCCAGCCTACCTGGCCACGAGGCGTCGAGCCTGAGCCTGCTGCAGGCAGAAGTTGTGGTCGAAGCCGTCCAGGTTAAACTTCTGCAAGTGCTTCCCCAGTTCCACGGGCTGCCGGAGATCGAAGCCGGTGCCCTGCACGGCAGCCACCTCCCCTGGGCGAGGAGAAAGCAGTGTCGGTCACCCACCCACACGCCAGCACACACCTGTGGTGTTGGCCCCGGCGCCGGGCTGAGATCCCTCGCTCCGGTGAGCCGAAGGGTTTGAGCAGTTGGGGATCCTTGTCCCGTGGTGGTGCCCCACGGCTTGCCCTGTGACTCAGGCTGGGATATCCCCACGTTGTCTCCCAGCGCAGCCGGCGGCCCCCGGGGACTCTGCTGTGCTTAGCTGGGACAAAACAAAACCAGAAAACGAGAGGTAAAGCTGGTAGGTGTAACTCTACAAGCTAATTAATACAAACCACAAACTTAATAGCTATTAATATATGCATAAGGTTTATATATGTGTATTATCTCTGAACAAATGTCTGTGAAATGGCCACGAAGGTGGCCCACCTGCCAGGATGGTGAATACGGGCTGTATGCTGGGACCAGTCCCCTCCTGCCTCAGGGCATTGTTTCAGGGGGGGAAAAAAGGGGTTTAAGACCATAAAACCAGCGTTTTCTCTCAAGTGTTTCTGTAAGGGGACGCAGCATCTTGTGCTAAGGCTCTTGCGGCGAGAACGACCCTAAGAGACACTAAACGCAGCGCAACACGCAGCCCTCCCGACCCACTGGCGAGGGATTGCGCGTGGGCGAGGAGAGAGGAAGGGCGTGGGAGGGGGTGTTTCCCTAAAGCCACGTTTCTCTACCATCCCCTCTAAAGGGAGAGGTTCCCAAGGGTCAGCGGTGCCGGCATCACGCGCCGTGCTCTGCTTGCTGGGGTCACGCGGCCAGCCCGGCCGCAGCTCTGCCCCGCAAACCCTGAGAAGCATCAGTCTCCACCCGACAAACAGCACGTCGCGGTGGCTTCTGATCCTCTTGAAAAGGAGCGCGTGTACCGAATTCAGCTGTGGGGCAGAAAAACACCCCGAAAAAACGACCAAACCGTTCTGATTCAGGCGCTCGGGGGAAACGCAGCGGCCCCTGCACGCCAGGGCGCTGTCCTTCACTGGTGCACAGGCCTCGTTTTCACCCCAGGGCTGAGGCCACATACGGTTCCATCAGCGTCGACGCCTGCGTTTACCCCGAACACCAGGAGAGAACGGCAGGAAGCCGGGGCAGCAAGCTGGCCACCACCGGGATCTGAACCAGCTCCGCAGGGAGAGCAGCGGGGAGGGGGAGCGGTGGGCTTGGTACGGCCTTCAGCTCTTCCCCGGCCTGAGCCCGGGCGTGACGCGCCCAGCCGAGCAAAAGCTGCCTGCACGCACGCGCGGCAGCTTTGGTTCGGGAATGCAGAGGTAACCCCGTTTAGCAGACAGCTGAGCGAAAAAGCTTTCTTGCTTTTGCTTATTAAAGCCTCTCCCTCTCCCTCCTGAAGTGAGACAGTGTGCTCAGCAAAGCAGCCCTGCTGTTACCAGCAGGGCCTACGCTCACCAGAAACTGCCCTGCGCAGGGCTCCTGCAGCCCTCGGGCACACGTCCCCTCCCACACCCAGTTTCTCCTCCGATGATGCAGCCC